TTGGACAAGGACATCATGCTTGGGAGGGTGGAGGGCAAGCGCAGGAATGGAAGGCCCTCTGGGAGGTGGACTGATTCGGTGACTGGGGCAATCGGGATGAGTGTGTCGGAGACAATGAGATTGGCACAGGACAGAGTTTAGAGCTGTTGTTCCTAGGGTTGCTGAGTTGCAAGTGACTCGACGGCACATAACAACAACAACAACAATTGCTTCTCTAGAGCTCTGGTGGCTTAGGCGTAAGGAACTGTACTGTCTATGCAAATTTATGTGGCACAAATCCTCCAGCAGTTCCATGGGAGAAAGATGGGAAATCTCTACAATTTACAGCCTCTGAAAACCCACTAACAGGTCTGGTATGGGTCGGTTCTAACTTGACGGTAACAACATGCATCTTTAGGGATATGTTAGGCCCTCAGAAGCAATGTGGCTACAACAAGTGTGGGAAAAGGAAACTAAAGGAGAGGAGGTTGGGCAGCAGCACTGAAGCTATTACAATGTGGTGACTTCTTTCTCGCTGATTGCTTCCTAAGACAGAAAAATCAACGAAAAGCTGACCTCAAAATCATCTAGGGAACGCTCTACCTTTACATCTGACCAAATAAAAATATAATATTTATACAAAAAAAAATCTTGGTGGCCTAGTGGCAAGACGCTGCACTGCAATCCCAGAAGTACACAGTTCAAATCCACCAGATGCTTTACTGGAGAAGGAAGGGGCAATCTCCTCCTGTACCAGTCAGATCTGATTTGACGGTACACGTAAAAATAATACAATAAAAAAAAAATTAAAAAAAAAAAAGTCTTAAACAGGTATAGCCAGATTTATTTTTTTAAAAGCAACTCTACCTTTGAAAAGATATGCAAGATATGTACTGCCAACATCAAGTTGGAACTATGCCATTGCTGACCCTCTAGGGAGTTTTCAGAGGTAGTAAACTGCACAGGAAGAGACTGCCCATCTATCTCCTGAGGAGCAGCTGGAGGATTTGAACTAAGTGCCTTTGGATTGGCAGTGCAACTCTATACCCCTAAACCAGTATGCACTAGGTAAGTGAAAAATATGCTCCGAAATATGTACTGTTGTTATACGCCATCGAGTTGCCTGGCATTCATAGCAACCCTGTGTACAACAGCCTTAAACCCTGCTCTATCCTGTGCCAGTCTCACTGTCTCCGGCACACCTGCCCCCGTTAGCCCAGTCACTGAGTCAATCCATCTCATCAAGGGTCTTCCTCTCCTTGCTCCTCTCTTCCAAGCATGACATCCTTCTCCAAGGATGGTTCCCGCCTTGCAACATGTCCAAAGTATGTCAGATGAAGCTTCAGAATCTTTGCCTCCAAGGAGCAGCCTGGTTTCACCTTCTCTGGGATGAACCTGTTTGGTCTCCTGGCAGTTGATATTGTATTCCATACTCCTCTCTAACACCACAGCTCAAAGGCATCAATTCTCCTTCTATCATCCCTAGTCACTGCCCAGCTTTCTGATCATAGCAACTAACTGCAAGTATGTACTGTTGTTGTTATGTGCCGTTGAGTAGCCTG